GTGGACAGAGAAAGAAAATATAGTGACATTTGAAAAACTAGACATGAGCTGAACTAATGTGTGCTGACTGGCACTGAGGTTAAGCTGTCCATGACAGAGAAAGGGTACTAAACCATAAAACGGCCCTGCAGTACAATACAGAAGATGTTTCGCCTTTAAGATTACAATCCCCGGCCACTTTATTGCAACCCCGTTTCCAAAAATAGTTGGAACGCTGTGCAAAATATAAAAAAAAATAGAATACAATGATAGGCACATCATGTAAACTATATATTTAATTGAAAATAGTACAAAGACAACATACCAAATATTGAAACTGAAATTTTATTGTTTTTTTGAAAAATATGTGCCCATTTTGAATTTGATGCCAACAACACGTTCCAAAAAAGTTGGGACAAGGGCATGTTTACCACTGTGTTGCATCACCTCTTCTTTTAACAATACTCCAGGGTCTCCTTTGTCGTATTTTTTCATTTCATAATGCGTCAAATGTTATCAGTGGGTGACTGCAGGCAGGCCAGTTTAGCACACGGACTCTTTTAATATGGAGCAATGCTGTTGTAATATGTGCAGAATGTGGTTTGACATTGTCTTGCTGAAATAATCAAGGCCTTCCCTGAAAAAGACGTCATCTGGATGGTGGCATATGTTGCCCAAACCTGTATATATTGTTCAGAATTAATGGTGCCTTCACAGGTGTGCAAGTCTTCCATATCTTGTGCACCTCATGGATGCTGGCTTTTGAACTGTGCACTGATAACAAGCCTGGTGGTCTTCAGCTGGACTGATTTCCACTACAGAGTCATGTCTGTTTTTAATGCAGTGCCGACTGAGTTTAACAGTCTTTTGCTGCCCCGTCCCAACTTTTTTTAAATGTGTTGCTAGCATCAAATTCAAAATGGGTATATAATAAGAAATAGGAAATAAAATTTCTCAGTTTCAACATTTGATATTATTCTAATTAAATACAGGGTTTAAATGATTTGCACATCATTGCATTCTTTTTTTATTTATATTTTCCCTCGGATACAGTTACAGACTGTAGCCCATCTGTTAATAAAGGTTGTGTTTGCAATTCTCTAGACCAAAGGTGCACAACTCTGGTCCTGGAGGGCAGGTGTCCAGCACAGTGGTTATTTACCTGCTCAAACACACCTGATAAGCCCTTTTCACAAGTAATGGAAGTGTGTAAATGCTGGGTAAAACAAGTTCCGCTATTGCATTCTGGACAGTTACTAACCTCAGAAATACAGGCATTCATATCACTTCAGCCACCACAGAAAGGTGTGTCACCTTATCTTTGTCATTGTTGCCAAGATTGAAATTCGAGGATGTGTCCAGAATGGTTGGAGAACCAAACACACAACAATGTGGTAGTCCAGACTAAATAAAGGATATGAATGCTTCATGGAAAAACTCCTTCACAGCTATCAGAGAACAATAACGTCAGCTAACATCTACAGAGTGAAAAATCGATGGATAGGTGAAAATAACTATAACCCAAAACGCTAGATAACCCTTGTTAGCTAGACATGCTGAAACAGCTTGCTAACAATAACTAGTTGGCAAAAAGCTAAACACGCACACATGCCAGCAGAGGGTGCGCCGGGTTGTCAGGGTTTGTAGCGCCACTGTAGAAGTTTTACACAAACACCGGCTCCAGTGAATAAAAACATCTACCCGCTGAGCACTTGATCTCTCAAATTCCGGCAGTTTTTGTGGGTGAAAATTAAACCTGTTCCTCTGAAAGCAGCTGTAGCAGCTACTTTAAATCACAAACTGCATGTTACTCAGCAGCGATGCAGATACAGAGGTTCTTTACCTCCGTATGACAAAGTTTACTCCTTTATTAACCACACAAACTCATTTGTCTCCGCTCATCATCAGCTGACAAACCATGGAAGCTGAGATAAGGTTGTTTTTCCTTCAGACCCGAACACTTGAGTGAGCTGTACATGCACTATTCGTCATCGTTGTTATTGTTGTTGCTGTAGCGGAAGTAGCATTAAGACTACTTCCAGCAGAAAAAAATGCAAAAATATGAAAAGGGCCTGTTACACACATCTATCAATTGCCAGGTTTAGTGGGTGTATTTGAGTAGGGAAACCTCCAAACTATGCTAGACACCAGCCCTCCAGGACTGGAGTTGTGTACCTCTGCTCTGGACCTTCATCGATGGCCAGTTTATGACCACAGAGCCCCTTTTGGATTTTTTTTGGGTGGTGGACCATGCACCATGGGGAATGGGTCCACCACCTATCTGGACAACAGTGGGTGAACTGTACACAGTTATTTATGTTATATGCAAAACTCAAATTGCATGTTTTGTTGCTTTTCTAGATGAAAATAAGTTAACTGTACAAGGAACAAACATAAATATGACATTCTTTGCAACTTTTAGTGCCCAATTTCCTTATTTTTTTTAACATATTGGAAAAATACAGCATACAATACAAAATGTGCCATGATTTTTGCACAGGCCACATTTGTGGGGTGTTTTTTATGTTAAATTCAACAAATAAACAACAATTGTGCATTAAAATGTGTAGAAGTGTGTTCTCTGTAAAGGATGTATTAACTTATTTACACATCAACAAAACATGTCATTTGACCAGGGTGCCAAAACTTTTGCATAGGACTGTATATAGTGGACTTACACAGTAAGTGTTGTCAGTGAGTGGAAGTACAAGACAGATGTTTCTAATACAGTGGATGGTGAGCACCTAATGTCCAGAAGCTGACTTAGCATCACAAGGCTACTTTATGCTAAGCTAATGACATAACTCAGGTAAAGGGGGCAGGAACAGCAGGTGGTCCGGCGGTTTTGTTTTACACCTACATCATTGGACTGCTTGTCAATCATTCAGCAGCTTCTAAAGTTTAATCTGTATCTCATATTTTAGCCGTAAATCAGTTTAGAGGACCTTATGCTTCCTGTATCGGCCCCCATGGCCGGCATTCATGTAGCTTCTCACAGCAGAAGTGCTAATCTAGGATCTGTTCCTGTCAAACATAGGAAACAGCTTTATCTGACAAATCTGCTTCTGAGAGGTTTTGTGAATACAAGCCCTGAACTTCTGACAGATAAATGCTGACATTAAGTTCCTTTTTCCTCTTTAAGGAGAGGAAAAAACTAAATATTGGTGATTCTTTGTTAATATAGCATCAAGATCCAGAGAAAAGGAATCGTCTATCTTTAAAACAGCATTTTCATTTGGGCTAGTCCATTTATTAGAATGACTAAACCCCTTTATACACAGTGACAAAGCACTTAAAGGGGAACTCCATCAAATTTTCAAAATGCATAATTAAATGGTCAACATGTCGACAAAGTCATTCAGTGTGGTTTGGTGTGAGATGCTCTGTTCTAGAGAAACTTACCCAGTCAGAATTGTTCACAGTGGTGGTGATAGGAACCAGACGTCCGCCTCTAAAAGCTCCCTCACAGAAAGTTATTACATGAGATGGTTATGAATTCACTGCCTGATGTCTGAGACACTGTTTTACTGAGATGGATATGAGATAGAGATTAAACAATGGAAGCTGCTGAATGCTTGAAAAGTAGTCTTTGAGCCAATGATGTAGGCATAAAACAAAACTGCCGGACCACCTGCTGTTCCTGCCCCCTTAAACTGAGTTATATCATTAGCTTAGCATAAAGTAGTCTAGTGGTACTAAGTCAAAGCTTCTGGACGTTAGGTGCTCACCATCCACTGCATTATAAATATCTGTCTTGCACTTCCACTCACTGACAATACTTACTGTGTAAGTCCACTATATACAGTCCTATGCAAAAGTTTTGGCACCCTGGTCAAATAACATGTTTTGTTGATTTTCTAAGTGTAAATAAGTGAATACATTTTAGCCTAAAACATATTTTAATGAATTTATTTTCATCTATTCACAGTGGATGGATACATGAAGGGTGTTCTGAGGCAAAATAGTCCCCAAAGGAAACTGTTTTTTTCACATTTTCTGCCATATTACCATCATAAACATTCCAAATAAAATCTCAGAAGACGTGTAGGTTCACTGGTAGTAAATAAAATATCTATATTTGTGTTGTAGTCATGGCAACCCCTGGTTCCTGTCACCACCACTGTATAGATATCTGAGTCTACAATCACCCACTTCACACCAAAAAACTCTTAATCGCTCTGTTTACATCTCAACCACTGAATTAAGCAGATTTTTTGAAAAATCGGTGGACATCCCCTTTAATGCGTTGAATCACCAAGAAAAACATGAAACGTTGCTGTGGGGCTGTGGAACTGGACCACTGGAGGCCTAAAGATACAGATGCCCTTTGACTTGCTCCATTCATGACAAGGTCATCGAGACCCTCCTTGCCACTGGACGGCGCTCTGGGGTCAAAAAACAGAGGGGGGGACACCCCCTCCTAGCTCTTCTTATTCCCTCAGTCTCACGCACTTTCTCTCCTCCCGTTTCCAAAGGCTTCCAAAAGGGTGTGTTTTAGAGCTTCTATTTAATCAGCATCACTGCAGCGTGGACAAGAACCGGCAACTCGTCGCCGCATTGCTGCTGCTCATCGTCCCGAAGAGCCCTGCGAGGAAGGAGGCTTGACTCGCAAGAGAAACGACCAGCTTTTTTTAAGAAAAGCTCGACTTTTTTGCTTCTATTGTATTTTATAACCAGTCCTCTGTTTTTCTTTCTGAGTTCGCGGGACGGCCCGCGCGCTAAATTCAAATCGAACGTTCGCTTCACGCGCCCCGCGTCAGACACTATAAAAAGTAGGGGCTCTCCGAACGTTCGTGGAATTAAAATTTTTCGTCCGTTTTTTCCGTTGCTCCAGCTCCAGCTCCAGCAGTCAGCCGCTCCAGATAGTTTGACCGGATAAATATGAACGGCAGGCCGGCCGCTTCCTCACCGTGCGCCGGCCCCAGGCTGCACCTCCTCGGCGACGAGCAGTGAGACACCCTCGCCTCGGGGCTCGAAAAAACTTAGCTTATTCGCAAATTTTTATTCATTGACTAGATATATTCATTCACTATACATTTTAACCTTCATAAGTCCGGCCTAACTCGAGTTAACATCACCGTGAGGGGGAAGTTCTCGGACATGTAAGATGTGGAAGTAACGTTAAGTGAACCACAACTCTTGTTTTCCTCTTATAGTTGTCGCTAGGCTACAATGCTCGCCTTCCTCATTCCCCGCAGCTAGCGCTGGCATACGTAGGTTAGCTAACCTACCTGACAAGGGCGTGTGCCTTTCTAAATGAGCCTGGAAGCTAAGCTAGGCTAAGCTAAGCTGCCTAATTTGCACCGCGTGACGAGGCGAGGAAGTTGAAGGCAGCTCCGTCCGTCCGCGCAGCCGAAGCAGAAGGTAGACAGTGAGCAGCTACACAGGCACCCAGAGAGAGAAGGTGATGGCTGGAGTAACGTTATCGCGTTTCTAGCTCTATCTTTCTAATTCACATCAACAGCTACCCTGAGGAGGGGGATTTTAAACCGCGTTCCAGCATGCCGTGTCCCCGCCGGGCACCCCGAGGCTCCGAGGCTGCACTGATGGGGCAGCAGCAGCGCCGGTCCGGGACGGTGTCTGTTTCTGTGTCTGTGTCCGTGTTGGTGGTGTCTGCGGCGGTGTTGGGCTGCTGTTTGCTGCCTCTTGGAGCGGCCAGTTCCCCCAGCCACAGTCAAGACGCGTCAAAGGATCAGCACTCCGTGAACTCAGGACACGGAGCGACGCAGTCAGCGAACCACACCAAGAAGCCTTTCCCTGTCCTGTCGTTCGACTATAAACATGTTAAACAGCCCTTCGAGATATTCCTGTGGGTGCTGCTGGCCTCCCTGATGAAATTAGGTGAGTCCAGTTGCTTTTGAGTCATCTGAACATCTGTCCTATATATATATATATATATATATATATATATATTTATTTATATATATATATATATGTATGTGTATGTATGTATGTACCTATCTGCCTGCCTATGTATCTATCTATCTGTCTGTCTGTCTGTCTGTCTGCCTGTCTGTGTGTGTATGTATCCATCTATCTCTCTGCTTCTCGTATGTATGTATCTATATACATCTCGATCTATCTATATATCTATCTATCTGTCTACATTGTCCAAATGTTTGAAGACACTCCTAATTACACTCACAGCTTGCATGATCTCCATAGAAAACCATTGCCAATAGAATGTGGTGCTCTGGAGCAGCCTCACGTGACCCTAAGGTCAGCATTTCCAATTCTAAGCATCAGCTAGTGGGTATAAAGCCCTCCAGCACTGGGTTGTGGGGCAGTGGAACTGTGTTCTCTGAAGTGATGGAGCTCCATCCAGTAGCTTTGGGATGAGTTAGAGTGATCCAGAACTGACCATCCAACATCAGTACCTGACCTCACTAATGCTCTATCAAATCCTCAAAGCAATGTTCCAACATCTGGTGTAAAGTCGTCTCAGAGGAGTAGAGGCACTTACTGCAGCAAAGAGGGATGAACTCTCTATTAATACCCTTCATTTCAAAAGAAATGCTGGATGAGCATGTGTGTACATATGTTTGGACATCTATCAATCTGTCTTTCTGTATGTCAACAGTTATAAATAATTGTCATTTCTCTCAACTTTTGTCCGTTTATACTGTCAGGGTCTGGTTTCACCACCTCCACTGTTGAGCTCAGTTTCACCTCAGGTCTGGTGACTGACTTCGCCATTTCCGCCCACTTTTGTCCTTCTGACATTGTGTGTCCAGTGTTGAGCTGGGTTTCGCCTCAGGTGTGGAAGAGTTAGTTGGCTAGTATGACCCTTCTGAACTCAGTGGGTCGATTTCCTGAACATTCAGACTCATCTTGGACTACATTGCAAAGCCATTGTTGATTCACCATTGACAGTCGTGATTTGTTTAGGGTTTAGGTTTAATCGAGGGCTTGGAAACTGATCTAGCAAAACTGAAACTCCATAAGCAGCCCAACCTTAGAGGGAGTTTTCACACACATGCTCTTTGCACTGTATTTGGCTTGCAGGGATAATGTGCTATCATGAGTAGGTGGCAGGGTGCAGCCACCTTATGGACCTGTTCAGTGGGTCACGATGGACAATGGAGAAGTTAATTGCTGGTTTGCGTAGTTTATCAGTCTCACAAGCAGCTGTTTTACCAAAGCATGTGATGAAATGTTGCATATGCACTGGTTAGACACAGTGTTTTCCTGTCAGGAGAGCTGAAAAGAGACAGCATTGTACAACTTTGTGTTTTACCCTGCAGTGAAGACATACCGTTGCTTGTAACTGTGGCTGCCATGGTTTATCCAAATTAACAATATATATATTTTTTTAATTTTAAAAACTAAATATGTAGTATAAAATGGATGTACCATTCAATCTGTACAGTTTAATCTGTAAAGTTGATGATGACAATGCATGTTTTTAAGTTCTCTTTCTGGTTTCTCTTTAGTAAGAAACAGCATCTAATTATACACCTATTTATACGTATTTTCCTCCATATAATGTTTTTTATTTTTCTATGTAGTCGTTATAAAGTTCATTTCTTTGTGATTTTATTTTTTTATTTTTTTAATTAAATACCTGATTATTTGTCACAATATTTCGTGCTCAAATACTGTTAAGATCAATAGTGACAGCCCTAACCTCAAGCACTTCAGCTGATGTGTTGGACGAGGGAAAGCACTAAAATATCCCCATGCACTGTTTGAAAAAGCCACTTTCTGACGTATCAACCTGACGGCACCTTAGGTAGTAGTTCTTTCTGCCCATGCTCATCACATTTGCACCCTCCTGTCTCTGAAGCCCTCCATCTTACCACCCTGCCACCCCAGCATCTCTCATGCACTCGGCAGCCTGTCTCTGACTCACTGCTGTCCCAGGAGCTTTGGCAATCTTCTGCACCAAGGCAAGCGCCTGATTAGTGGTGAGCCAGCGGCACCGTATGGGTTAGGAAAGCTCCCCAAATGGTGCATTCATCTGATTTACCGGTCACAATCTGTTTGATCATGTTTGCTCTGTTTCTGAAGTTGTTTTTTAAATCATGTGATGAGGGACAGCTAAAGAGTTAAAGTACAATACTGAGCTATGAGTGAGTCACTGTAATGATACAGATTCAGTGGGGTGCGCAATATGTTGTCACAATATGTTTTTGTGAGTGTCATGGACATCGTCAGTGCTTCTGCAACACTGATGAAATATTTAAAAAAAAAAAAGGGAGATTTAGACCAATTATAGAAAGCCTGGAAACAATCAGTGTATAAAAACTACATAAACTGATTCTCTGTACACCTGTTTATGCAGTTGTCTTTTTCTTATTTATATTTTCTTATATTTATGATTTTTCTTTTGCTTTCTTCATCCATAATTTGTTTATTTTGGATTAAAAAAAAGAAATGTAGCCATTTTAAAATGTGGAACTACTGTTGTGCACAGAAATTATGCATATTGTATATTGTGAAACGGTACCAAATGTTGTTATATTTTTGAGCTATTGGCTATTGCGAAGACCAGGGGTGTCAAACTATAACCGCTAAAAGGGCCATATAAAAAAAATCAACCAATCCGTGGGCCAGCAGTGTTTTTATTTTAATTTTTTACTTAACATTTTGCCATGACTTTAACTGGCCATTGTGTATTCGCTTGAACTAGACACCTGGCTTTGTTTTTTTGTTTTGTTTTTGTGGTGCTGTCCCATAAATCGTTGGGTAGTATGTGAGAGCACACGTTACATTGCAGTGCATGCTGAGAACTGTACTGCAGCTCATGGTGAAATGGGCTAACGTTAATAGAAAATTAAAATAATTTTGCGGTATGAATAGGATTGTGCCACGGGCCTGGCTTGGCCCGCGGGCTTTGTTTGACACATGGAGCTAAGACTAATCTGATATGTTTTCTTGGCTGAGAACTATCAAAGGAGGGGAGACGATGGGGGAGAAATAGATGGATTGAGTGTAATTGATGAGCATAAGCTCCTAGTCATAACCCTCTTTCTGTGGCGCAGACGCACAGCAAATATGTTAATCTTTGTCTGCTGGAGCAGACGTGCTAAACTGTTGTTTTACCTCCTAAACAATTGCCAGAGCTGTCGTAAACAAGCTGCTTTTCGTTCTCCTGTAATATAATTTTGCTCCCAGTGTTGTCAGACTAGTCCGGATTGGTTGCTCTTTCTGTGTTTTGTCCCTGTCTGGGAACAGCAGTAGAACTTCCTGGCAGGAGTAGCATGAAATCACTAACACTCTTCTTTTAGTGGGTAAGACGTCTCTGTCAGTTTTTGAGCTCAACAGCATTGTCCTGAAACCAACCGGATATAATGTGGATAATGTAAAACTTCCTCACAATGGGTGGGCTGATCCCAGCAGGCGATACTTTTCCCTGGAAAGCGATGCAAAATATATACAGCAGCTGGTCCTAATTACTCATGGCTGCCAGAATTAAAGTCAAGGAGAAGCACTGGTCTCACAGTGAGGACACGTTTTTTTCTTATTTCTTGTAGATGCATTTTGGAGACAATGATTTTAAATGTCCCATTTGATTTGTTAGAAGTAATCCTTGACTTGTGTTTAGAACATGCTCACTTCGTCCACAAAATAGGAGGCTTTTGGTTGAGGTAATGCCTGGAAATTGACCTAATGAGCTTTTTTTCCGTCATTTGTTTGATGAAATCAGCCTAAAATGGAGGAAATGCAAGTCATGTGACTACTGGGCACGTAAGTTCCAGAGAAATTCTATTTCAGAGGCCAATTTAATATAAACTATCGCTGACCTGAATCAATGTAGCTCGAACGCCCATGTTCGCTTGACTTCAAAAGACTGTGATTAGCTTACTCATTGTTTACCAGGTTTGGCAGCTTTAGAATCTTTATAAATTTTGGGAGCAATGTGACAAGTCTCACACACTTTTCTCATTCAATGACATTTGTCATTCACTTTATTTGTATTGCAAACATTTCTACTTCAGCATAGAACAAAGGAGTCTTGTGTTTCAGGGCTTGCTTTACATAGTTTCCCAAGGCGCCGAAACAAATTTACACGTGCATGCATTTCTGCTTTGCCTACTTGATCTGTTAGAGTTAAAGTCTCATCAGACCAGTAGTGAACTCATATATTACCAACCAGTGAGCTTTGACTTTTGTAACCTTGTCTGCTCCTTTGTTTGACATGGTTTCTACCTCTCCAGGTCCTTGAAACCGCCCACGTGATTAACATGCTTTCAGTGTAGAATTAAGTCCACTCCCTTCACCGATACCGCAACCGTTGACCTTCTGATAACATGCGGTGGTAGCCATTAATGCGATTTCTCCGTCAGCTTAATTAAGGTGCGTTTTATGACTCATAAAAGGTGGTTATTGTATTATAATAATGCAAACATTGCCACAGGTCTCGAGGCTGCACCCTAAGCTGCTTTTCTCGAAAGATGTTGTAATGCCAAAAGAAGGGTTCACACCAGGTTTGCTCTCAGCGTTATTCTTATGTGAGCAACACCTGAACCACCTTCCATGCGTCAAAATTAAGTGAGACCGGAGCAAGAGTTAAGCATAAATGTTTCAGTGTCTATACATTATTAATAAATGCTTATTATGTGGTGCACCTAGTTTGCGTCTTACAGAAGTAAGTGAGTTGTGGGCTGATTACTGTTGTGCAGCTCAGAGAAAAGGAGTGAATTGGTCTGATATCTGATGGTGTAGAAGTGGTACAACTTGGCAGTGGGAAATATGATCTACGCCATTTATTAATAATAATCTTTTTTCTAGCTTTCTTCATTTAATAGCGGCATGGCATGGCTCCACAGAGACCCTAACTGGCCTGGATATGCACTCCAAACATCTTAGAATTCATTAAAACTCACGATACCATTATG